GATGAAATACTCAACTCCAGTCTTCATTGAGAGCGGAATGCGAGGATACATAGCTTCGACGACGTCCTCACTTATACACTCCACAGAAAGAGAACAACACTGCACTCTTCACTATCCCCACGTAATTCTCCATTCAAATCCTCATCATTTTCCATTCCAATTTAATCTCTAAAAAGTAGATGAACAGTCAAACCCAAAATGCCCAAACCCACATCTCCAGAGTCTTCTTCATCATTGCTGTATACATCCACTGCGAATTTTCAATTTTTGCTTCCCATGAACATTCAATGAAATAAACCATATTCACGATGAAATACTGAAGTCCACTCTTCATTCTTAACCTTCTCTCATATCATCGCCCACAGCCTCTCCTCGTTAATCAACCTTTTCAGCTTTCATTCATATAGATTCTCATTCCAAATGCCAAATTTAATAACGAAAATAACCCCTTAAACATTATAATTTCCTGAATTTCATAACTATTACATTACTGTGAACCTTACTATGAACTACGATTACTGCGAGCACAAGAAAATGTTCACTCTCGAACATGCCTGTGGTTACTATGCGAGAAAAATCTTACTAACTATGTAATAACATAGTTATTATCACCATGCTCTAAGCACGCAATAATAATGGTTAAGCAGTTAATGTTAGTTACCTAATATAACGTATTATCTGGTAACCATTACTAATGTTGAATATGGGACATGGCAATAGTTATAATGTTACTTGTTAGAATATCCAGTTAAAATTCATAGAAATATATTGAAGTGATTTATGATGATTACAAAAATGAATCAATATAGAGGGGTCCATGGAGTCACTTGAGAGTTTGAATAAACATAAACAATGGTTTTAGAAGAAATCATTGGAGGGTTCTTTCTTTGGTGACGAATGATTTTATGGTCTGTGTGGCTAGTCTTTAGTCTCTTGGACATATTGATAGAGTTCAGACGTTATTCTTCCTCGTGCGTTTCTAATAAAGTAAAAGTCATTAGTGTTTATTAACTGTGTTTTTAATTAATTTAACTATCCCATTTCCAATATTATTGAATAGTTTTGTTAAACGCTAGTATTACGATATTACATAGTTGTCCCATGTTCCCAATAAACATTATTAATGTTAGCACTATGTAATATCGGGAGTATAACATTATGGTTACTATGGTACTATTTTATTACGCAACCTACTAACTATTGCCGTGCTCCATAGTAATTGTTGTCAAGCTTTGGTAATTATATTTAGTAAAATGCCCCCTGTTGACATTCCTTTGTTAATGAGGGAATAATTGCAATCCTGTTAATGCGGTAATGTTACACTGAGTGATCATTACTATGTAAGACATAGTAGACATTGCCATATGAAGTGGAAAATTTTCCCAGATTAGAGTGTCATTACTAATACACCCAACATTGTAAAGTATAATATGGGTCACGGTAATGTTGACATAGTGACATAGACTAGATAACTATTTCGAATACAGCAATCTCTTTTATGGCCAAGATAATTTTTACTATTTAATTTTCTTCTTGTAAAATCCCTCCAAGCCGATCTCACAAGCATAAAGTTTCTTATAGATCCATTCATGACTTCAGTCAATGAATCAAAAAGTTATATATTACTGTCCATAACCATGACTTTACATTTTACAATTTTATAATCAATTCAACAAACTGAATGATGCCTCAACTCAAAATTAATGAGACCATTACAAAACGAGGAAAATTATCAGCATGACATTCCTCAACCACTCCGTAATCCTGACATCACCAAATTACGTTTCTCCGATTTGAAATTCCGATTCTAACCGATTCTAACCGATTACCCAAAGTCACTTAAGCTTTATCAGGACAGTATCGTACCGAAAAGTCCACCCTAAAATCAGCTCTGAAAGAATGATTTGATCGTACCAAGCAATGCTTTTAAATAGTTAGCAAATAGTAGCGCAAAACATGGCCCAATGAGGATTGATTAATAGTTAACCGGCCGTTCGATCCACCGAAATTCGAAAATCGAGTCAACCAACACCCAACATCTGTAATCGTTAACTATTAACGAATAACTAGTTGAGTAGACTAATGCATCAAATATCTTCGTCAACAATAACAAATGGTTGTAGCAGTGTGTCTCGCGATTGAGGCAATAAAGATAGTTGAATAGTTAGCTTTAAGAAATATGGGAAAAGAGAGCGTTTCATATATTTCTCCAGGTTAGTCCCGAGGACATCGAACTGAAATGGCCTCTAGAGGTGCATTCCAGTATTCTACTCTTGCTACGTACCTTATAGTCTCATCCACCTCGTTCTTTCCGGTCTACTCTCTTCTCTGTCCTCCCTTCTTCCATTTTACTCCTATCCATACACTCTCATCTCCCTTTCCCTCTCACTCTATCACTGGTCAAATGTTTAACCATCTTTCTTTCTCATACGACTCATCTGTCGACGCATCCTATCGCGCGCGACTTCTCCCTTTCGGCATTCACTCGATTCTTTTATTTAGCTTCTTTTCCCGCATTCCACAGCATCCGGTCGTCGTACCATCTATTACTATAAACGAACAAACCATGTATTTCCTTTTACTATACTCATCTTACTTCTTTACAACATTCCAAATAGACGATCTGCCAACGACTAAACCATAACAAAAGTCTTATTATTCTTTTTGAGATTTACTATCTCACAATACAAATTCGATCTAATATCTTTCAATTCGGAGGAAAATAATCAAGTCCGGACCATCATTCTCAAACAGAAACCTTATAACTACTCAATCATCAACAATACAATATACAATTTAAAAAATCCGGGTAGATACCATCGTCACTTCTTTCCGCAAAAATAAAGCTTATTAAATTAAGAAACATTTTAAAGACATCCCGAAAAATTTAAGAAAATTTTCGAGAATTGGTAAGCACCGTATGTGCTGCAGACGTGTCCATCTCCGATGGTCCCTCCGTTGCCTCTGTATGCCATCAGGACTTCTCCAAGCTCTATTCTTGCCTCGTATACATGCCGCGTCCATTTCGACAGGACCGCTTCCACTAGTATTCCTGCAAGTCCAACGGCAGTGCTTCCAATTTTCCCTT